GCTATTCTATATTTGACTTGGCTTAAAGTAGACCCACCTGCCACTAATAGAAGCTCCTTATCTACAGGTTGTATCGAAAAACCTATTTTTTTTTCTCAGAATTCATTCTCCTAGCATGAGCATTATTCTGAGCTTGTCATTGACATTGCCTCTGAGAGCGTGTTCAATCAGTGAGAACACATTTGTGTGTGTTGCTGTATAATAAGACTCTGCGTAGCGCGGTACAGAACAGCTTCTTGGAGCTCTGGAAGGCAGAACAACAATGCTTATCGTCTCACTTTTGTGTAAGTGACGCTGGAAAACAGTCAGGCTGTGGGGATCTTCAGGGTAAGATTTGATAACAGCCTGAGCTTCCTCTACGGTCTACGACAAGGGAGTGCAGCATGCGATAATAGGCACAAAGCTACCAATCATGATACGATTCAATAAAGTTGGCGAAAATAAAAGGCTTCTTAAAAGAAATTGCAGTATTGGTTGAGCCGGAGTGAATCTGCTGAAATACATACCTCGGTGTTTTTTATTTTACTTTGATAAAATAGAGAGATATCTCTTTCAAAAAGCAGCATCCTGTGTAAACTAAGATTTAAACTTAACATTATTCCTAGTCATGCAGGAAGTCCAGAAGAAAAAGAACTATGGATAATCAGTTAAAAGAACTGACAGATACCCTGATGTGTTGATCAGTAGTAATACCTAATTTCTATTTCAAGTGTGCTATAATGGATTACCATATAGATGCAGCAAAGCACTAAGCATTAAATAGATCTACGTGTTTTCTGAAAAAGCAATATTATTTCGCACTGTGGGGTTTCTTAAAATATTTCTTATTAGTGTACTGTGAAACTAGAAACAAGATGTCAATAGCCAGTTTGGATTCACAGCAGTATTGCTACACATCCAGGCTGGAGGGGAAGAAACTATCATTTGTGTTATAGGCATAGCAATACATGTTTTTTAGAACACCAGGGCTTGGGAGAGCGTAGAAAATGTTCTTGGAAATGCGAAGTTGGAAGGACGACAACTGGAGCTTGTTCATGACTTATGCAATCCTACATCACGCTGCAACACCCTCTTAGTCTGGGGGCGCTACCGCACACGTGTGGAAATCACTAGTTAAAGGCATTCTAGGCTAACTTTGAATTAACTTGCAACATTCAGAAGGTTGTATTTGAACCGTGGTAACTTGTGTTTGCATTGCAGGAGCAAATGTGGACTCTGAATTTAGGCTATTTCTGTTCACTCTAATCTGCTGCAAAGCTTTCGTACCTTCAGTGGGTAGCTGCCATGCTAGCAATCTAATTTGGTTGTTTTGGTTTGGTTTTTTTTAAATGACTTCTGCTTACTGTTTGATATACTATGCAGGGGATTAATCACATCTTTGCATTTTTTTCAAAGTGCATCCATGTATTTTTTTTTTTTTCCTGGTTTTGAGATGCTGAAAAGAACAGCACAAGAAATGACTTGTGTCTCAATTTTTGCTATATGAAAAGATTTTGGGATATGGAAGCTTTCCTCAGATAGGAACTTCTGCCCTCTTATTATTTATTTAAACTCTTGAATTGTTTCGATTCAGTCACCTGACAAGGGTGTTTGATTCTTTGGTTTTTAAAGAAAAAAACCTGGACTCGGGTTCTGTTCTTCCCCAACCCTCCCAGTTCCATGCAGTTTAAAGTTTAAGCTTGCTTTTCCTGGTGGTGGTTGTACTCTGCAACAGCATTTTCCAGGTTTTCTCTGGGCTTAACCTAAAATCCACCAATGCTCAGATGCAAGAGTTCTTACCGAGTTCTTTTTCAAAATGTGTCTTTATCATTCAGCTTTGCCACCTTATCAGCTCGCACAGCTCACACCTCGTCATAGTTCACTTTCTGTTGTGTTCTTTTTCTTTTTTGTGTTCAAGTTTAGGTGAAATTGTGTCGCGTGTAAGATAGCGCCCTCGCTGCCTGCCGCTGTGCCTCTGGCCTCTGCCATGGAGCGGTTAGCGTGCTTGCATCCTGCAGAAAGGGCGTAGTAAAGCCCAGCTTCCGTCAGTACGCTATTGTGTTGTGAAACAACCGGCAAGCGGCGGTTATTTATTTTGATCCCGAGTCAGCTGGGATGTGTAAACTGTGAGATTACATTGCTGAGGCTCTTGGGGAATAGCTATTGTTTCCTTTGGCAGCTAAGGAAAATTTAGTTGTACGCCATCAGCTTATTTTCCCAAACTTTCATTCATGCTACGTGAGTATGCCGTGCCTTGTGTTTAAGCGTAGATCAGACATTTAGTGAAGCAGACGTATATTGTCTAAATCTATTTTTTGTTTTGTAATGGGGAGTTTTACTGGAACATCTGAAATACAAGAGCATACACATTTTCACTAGTAGCATTACCAGATTTTGACAAACTTCTAATAAAACATACTGATACAGAGTGGTGCCTGATTTTTTTTTTTTTTCTTTTTGGAGTTTAATACAGTTGGTTCTCAAAAGTTTGTATTTTGAAACAAATGAGAGAGAATTTGCATCCAAAGCCAAGCTGAAGGTATCTTGTTAATGTGGCCTGTCAAAGGAAGTTGGTTTTGCTCTAATGATCTACTGTACTTCTTATAATGACTTAAACAATGGAAACAAAATATATGTGGTTTTGTCTGGTTTTCCATAATAAACGTGAAGATGTTTGAAGGTTCTTCCCCGCAGTGTATTCTGAAACTTGAGTCCGGCCCATTTTTTGTTGCCAGTTTGTCTGAGGGCTTTGTTTAATGGAGCCTTTCCTCCTGCGCTTGGGGCACGCGGAATGGGATCAGCCCAGCGTGTGCCTGGATGCAGACCAAACTCGGCGTGCGGAGCGCCGCCACTCTTGCAGTGACTTGGCATATTCATGATTTAGGTCGGCAGCTCCTTTCTGCCCTGTGCCAAGTTGGGTAAAGATTAATGTCAGAAATAGTCGTGAAAAGTGGTGGGCTGCTGCTATTTTAATATTTAGATGCATAATGATAATTCTTTGTCTGTGGATCCTGCAATCTGAGTGGCAGAAACGTGGTCCTTAACTAACAGGTAAAGCCGACACGTGAATCATGGCCTCATTTTTAGCCAGTCAGATCCTTCATCCCAAGCGCATTCCTCCTGCCCATGGACGGGGAGCTAGACCTCTGGCCACCAGCCTCCCGCTCCTTCAGCCCCCGCTGCCAGCGCGTCCTGGGAGGGAGCTGTGGCACTAACGCGGAAACAAGATGCGACTGGAACGTAGAAGGGATGTGTTCGATTTATATTTTTATTCTAGGTAAACTTTTAGAAATGCCAAATACTCTTTGGGAAGCATATATTTTCATTCTAGGTAAAATTTTAGAAATGCCAAGTGCTCTTTGGGGAGCATGTGCTATGGTAAAGATGTGAAGGAAGACCAGTCTGTCTGTGTGACCCGAGGTCTAGTTCCCCAAGTCTGTGAACTTGTCGTGACTTCCATCTTCTGCCATGCAGAAAGGAATGTTCCATTTTCAAAAATACTCTATTTTGAGTGCTGTATATAATTTCTGAAGCACTTTGTTGTCAAAAATGAGAAAAGTCTGTCTTATTCCATCTCCCGAGCATACTGTTTGTAACAGCAATAATGATTCATGTGTTGGCCATCTCTGAAGGATTGCCTAAAATGCCAATTCTTGCTTTCTTGGCTGTGACGCTTTATTTCCTCTTGCGAGCTTTTATGTGCAAAAGACCAACAAATGGGTCACCGTTGCTTAAATGACTTGTCATTCGTTTTGCATCCTGCATGTGGTATTTCTGAAAACCTAATGGCGCTTTGTTATGCAGGAGTTCGTTCCACTGATTTTCTTTGATAATTACAAGGGACTCTGACTGTTAGTAATTGATCATGTTGTTTAGTTTAAGTTTAGCTCCAAAAGTAGATGTTGAAAACAGTTTCCCATTTAAGTATATCTTCTTAATTTCATATTTCAGTGGCTGAAAAGTTGTAAGATCGAGACACACTTTTCTGTGAAATCTGTGTGAAACAATGCTTGTTCTCTCAGTTTTTCTGGGAGACTGAGCAGCAGTAAGTTAGCTCTCCTGTACTGCTAATGCACCTACCTGCGGAGCCCGAGCCTGTACTGCTGAGAGTTTAAAAAAGAGAAAAAAAAACCATATTTACCCATGTAAGACCCCCAAATAGTTTTGATTTATCCAGATTATTTAATAGCATTACCATCCACTAAACCAACAAAGAAAAACATTTGGTAGCCCCAACTGTTCTTTGCCACTAAGATTATAAGACTCCGTTCAGAAAAGCACTTAAGCAAATGCTTAAATTGCTTTGCTTTGTTGGTGCCCTGTAGTGTAACAAAACTAAGGGGGAATGGGTTTGACCACAGCCTGTCGCTTTGTTTTTTCTGCCTCTGTTAGGATCAGTTCAAAACTACAGAGGCAGACCACTATATATTATTCCACATAAGTGCTTTATTAACTGCATGTGCTGTGAATTAAATTAGTCTAGCTTTGTGTAATTTGGCTCGGTTTCACTTGCCAAGGGAAAACACAGGTAAATCATCTCCCAGTAACGATAACTGCACCGCTGTTCGTCTCTGCCTTAGCGGGGAGATCAGAGCCCCTCACTGATGGAAAGGCAGACCTAAGCCGCAGAAGCTCAGAATCTGGACTGTAGCAATCTAACAGCAGTCATTACCAGACACTTCAGAAAAATGTAACCCAAAGTGAGCTGCTTGGAGATCTGCAACTTCTTCATTAGAAATAGCTTGTATTCTGGAATACAAGGGCTTTGCAAGAGAGTGGGAAAGGGAAAGCGGTTCATGACAGCGACATGGTATTTATTCAGGACCGTTCCAAGTATCTTTCTCCCTAACAAGAGAGTACCGTAATGGGCAGGCATCCTTACTGTGATAGGTGTTTGCTTTCTATTGTGTTCTCTATGTATACATTACCATTTCATTTATGTCTTCTGTATTAGTTTCTCTATCCTCTGAACAAGCCAGTTTATTACGGGAAATCTGACTATTTAGTTTTGTTTCCTGCAGAAAATATTGCAGCTACTACCTGAGAGGATTTTTTATCGATGGCATTTTCGCAGTATAGGTAAGAAGGAATGGTTTAAAAACATTTTAGCGCAAATTAAATCAATGTTTTCTGTAGTCCCTTCCCTGGTTCTACAAGTCCTCTTAACCACAGAATCCTTTAGTATTGCCCATACACAAATAGTACGTACATACGAGATTCGCAGCTGAAAATTCTCAGAGCATATGGAAAATCTTTTTACCTGCTATAACAGCTCTGTGTGTTCCTTGTTTTGTGTGGTTTTGGTTGCCTGCTTCATTTTTCTTTTGCATGAATGCTCTCTACATGTTTATATGCTTGGATTTACCCGAGTCCTCTTCTCTTTCTTCTCTTTGATGTGCTAGAAGCTATCCTGATGATGGGGGTTATAAACCAACACACCTTTTCTAATTAGGTCTCCCTTTGTATTCGCAGAGTAACACCCAAAATGATGATTGAGGAAGGTTGTGGAATCTGTATGTGCCTCTCTTGCAAATTTGCATTATAATAGTCTTTTGCAAGTGATCATATATGAGGTGCCCGTACAAATTTGTACATATTGCTCTTTGCCTAATGATAGATGCTCTGTTGAACTCGACCCTTGCTGCCTCCTAGAAATTTATTCTGTAAAACTTTGGCTGTGAATGGGTGGCTGTTTGGTGGTTGAGCACAGGCTGTGCTAAACTGAACGCAAGCCATTGGGCTGCTGCAGTGAACAGGAGCTTAATTTCTTCTCTGATATTCCTGTGTTCTCTGTGCAGTTTAGTTTGTTAATATTTGTGAAACACTCAGTTGTCACACTATCTGTGGGAATTAAATGAGGAATTTCTGGTTTAGAGCTGGGATAGTGAAGGAAAGAGATTAAGGACAAAAATGGAAACTTTCTAGCAGCTCTTTTTGATCAATTTTTCTTTTAATCAGTGGTTCACGATTTTACTGGCCTTTATAACTGGAATGATGAATACACGGTATGAATACAGCTGTCTTTCACTGATTCTCATGTAGTGGAGGATTTGCCAAGCATTGTGTTGGGATACGGCGTTGGCCACAACAGACACAGGATAGCCAGGGATGGCATCCACTTGGTCAAATCGAGTGGCTAGCCCTTCTTTCACCATGCCCCTGGGGTATTTACCGTCTGTATTCCGGCTTCTGCCGCAAAGGAAGGAATAGGAGGAGTCCGGCAGAGAGCAGGCTTGGAATTAGGAAAACTGGTTTGTTTTCCCCTAGTCTCCTGTCTGTTCTGCATGCTTTGTTCTGCAGAAAAAAGCTTAGTAAGCTTGACCTGAGGATTGTATTGCAATACATGCATAAAAAAGAACAAGATAGCTGCCAACTTACTTAAGGCACGCGCTTGGACTGCTTGTCTTAAAGCACTCCATGTTCTTCTGCTCTAGGTGTTTTGTGTTAAGCATGAGGATAATTCATGTCTAACAGGCTTGCTTTAGTCACTCAAGAGCTTTGGGATTCTAAATAAGAAAAGCAGGATTTTTTTGGAACAACTATTAATGTTTTTTAGAAGTTTTCGTACAGTTTGTATAGGCTTGAAACTAGATTTTAAAATTAGATTCAGACATTAATTTTATGGGGGCAAAAAGTTTTATTGTCTTTAGGTTGAAGATAGTTAACTTTTTAATGATTTAAATACTCCCTGTACCTACAGTGCTTGGCCAGTGAATGGTTTCACCTTGTGATCAGGTATAGGAGCCAGAAAGCAAAATTTACTCCTCTCTTCATTTGACCAGATTAAATAAAGCTAGAGTCAAATGGGTGCAGAAATATTGAAAGGTGAAACACATTTATTTTGATAGTTAAAGCACCGGGAAGTCCAATGAAGTAGTTTTGACTTGATAATTTCCTCTGAATTAAACATCTTTGATTCATCGCTACTCTGAAAATTCTGCTTCTCAATGCTACCAAAGTGGCCGCAATGTTTTGTTTTGCTGTTCGTTAAAGTAAATCTTATGCTGCTTTGGGGGGATTATATTTCTTCTTAGTGGTACTTTTGTTGTTGTTGTTTGGTTTGATTTCCAGCGCTATTTCATCAGCTGCCATGTTTTTCATCAGAACAATGAATTTGCTGTTGCAGGAGAAATAATGAGTGGAAGTTAAAGGTCAAGGAAAGGGCTGTTGTCACATTTCCAGCTAGCACTGACAGAAATAAAAGGAGACATCTGCTTGACCACTTTACTACCATTTCATCTGAATTAGTCCAGAACAAATTGGTTTTAGTCAGTTGTTTTATAGCTAATAGATTCCTTATATTTATGCTTCTCTTGAATAGTCATAGTTAGATAATTTTTTAGCTGTTGTCCAATAAATAAGCTACAAAATTTGGCAGTGCAATTATTTACAGCTCTACCATGTGATTTTCTTTTTGCTTAATGTTCACATGCATTAATATGTATTTGCTATAGATGTTAATAATTTCCATTTAATACTGTGAAATTGTGAGATCTTGAGGGAAGGATCACATTTACGGAGTGTACATAACTCTCAGATCTAGGGGAAATAACATCTGAGTGCTACATCATGATCTTTTTCTTAGAATTGGATTAAAACCACTTTTTAACCAAAGCATTTGATGTGTAATCTCCTTCTGATTTTTAAGTCAGACATTTGAAGGTAAGGGCAGTTAGCCTGGTACTTCTAAAACCAGAATCAAAATATTTTGCTATTTTAGTAGTAGTTGTGGTTTGTAGACATGAATGTAGTATAGATTGCCAGCATCTTTTCTTGTCACTATTGTCAATAGTAGTGTACCTGAATGCATTAATCTTACAAATTGGACTTTTTGATTTCTCCAAATCTACTAAGTCAAAATTTCCCCTAGATATCTTATTTTTAGTGAAAATAATTTGAGAAATTGTCATCTGACTAAAACCAAACCACCTCACTGTAAAGATACATTATATTTCATCTTGGCACACCGATGATGACAGTAATTAGATTCACTTTGGGTTTTTTCACCCCATAGTTTCCTTTTTCTTAAACACCAGTGCCGTAGCCACACAGTAAGTGGCATTCAACTAGCCCTTTCTGTCGTGTTTTTTAACTAACCATTCTGGTGGAAAGTGACCACCTTAGCATCTGATACATGCCTATTTAATTTTTCTCATCCAGGGTCAATTCTGAAGAAACTTTTGCACACTGGAAATTCTCTCAAGGTATTTCTCTTTGATAATGTAGTCATGTTTCTTTTCACATTAATTTTTATGAAGCATATTACTTTACAATTTTCCAATATCAGTGTTTTTCAGATTGTTAGGCTTTGTAAGTTTACTTATTTACTGTTTAATCATAAATTTTATTATTGTAATCTTACATTATTTTAATATTTATCTTCAGTCATTTTGCTGTTCTAATGACCTTTGTAAAGTTACTTGGAGAAGGTATCGGTGTATTTTGCTTAGTGCTTTATTTTTTCATCTCTCTAGCGTTAAGTATACTGTATTAAACATATTGGTTTCTTGTGTGCCAAAGAATTTTAAATCCATTTTTCTTCTTCTAAATATATTGCTAAAATTAAAATTGTATCTTTTAATAAAAAACCCCCAGTAAATAAGGTTAAGAAGCTTACTGACTACTTGGGTGGTTTTGTTGCACCTTGGTTTTCACGAGGATCTTCTGGTCCTGGTGAAGTTGACAATAGCTTACTTTGACCTCTGCGGGGCCAAGATTTCAGACTTAGTAGGGCACGGGGTGTTGGCAGCCCCCCAGTCGTGCCTGACACTTGCCGTTGTGCTTCAGAGCCCCTTTTAGGATTGAGTCTTGAGACTGGCCAAGATGCTTTTGGCCCTGAAAACTGCGGGAGTGGAACTAGAACTTTTTGGCCTCTGAAAGCTGGAGTGGTAACGCCATCTCCTTGGGGTGCCACTGCCTTGGGTACAGCTTCTTCCCACTCATCGCTGCTCATGATTAAATTAATAATGTGATTGCTCTTGGTACGATGGAAGGACTCGCTAGCACATCACTGGGATGAAAGTACTCATCCTGCATTTTCTTAACTGTTTAACTCTGTTACTGTACTTACAAATTTATGTGAAGATCTTTTTCTACAAAATCATCCCCTTGTAGATAAGATGTGAAGGAATCCGACTGTTTCTTCTCTGGCTTCAAGCGCTTCAGATTAACTGCCTGGAAGAGCAGATATTAATATTTGCATGCCTTGTGCCTGGCTTTCCACCTATTATGTCCTCACGAGGTCCCTGTACACTAGATAACCTCATCAGCCCTCCTAATGCGCCAGAGGGTGAGTAAATGGACACAATTTCCACGAGGGGTGTATTGCCTCCCACTTCCACTGAGGTCTTGTGGGGAAGATGTCACACAGATGCTACTGTTTGTCTTTATAATTCAGAGATAGTTGAATTTGTTGAGCTGTTGCATTTGTTGCAGCTCTATAGCCTTCTGGTCCTGTCATCCCGAGTTCAGAATGGTTGGGTTGTGTTTTTTCATTTTGGTTTTTTAATTGAGATGCAGCTATATGAACACATTACTGCAAAATGCGTAGGTGTGCAGATTTACCGCTTGTTGGTTAATCTGCAGTGCTTGTTTGTGTTAACCCTTCCAAACTGCAGCAAATCAGAGGTTGGTGCCATCCTTGGTTACCTGCGGTAGGACTTGGGGAAACACGGGAAGCCCAAGCAGTCACTGGACCGTGACTTTGTACAACTCAGTAGTGCATTAGTGATTATTTTCAAATTACTCTTCCTACAGAAAATGTATTTTATTTAACTATTTTCAGGTTTTCTGTGTTTAATACGTTTTTTTTTTTTTTTTATTTTAGCTAAGATTTTTCCAGAAGAAATCACCCCACTTTTGCCAGCTGTCTCTGGAGAGAAAATTGCTGAAGACCAAACCTGCTATTTTCTTCAGCTACTGTTAAAATACATGGTAATTCAGGTGCGGAGGATATATGTTTTTAATTATTCATGTTTGGAGGAATGTACTTTTGTGGTAGAAAATTAAGTCAACGCTGTATCTGTACAGAGCTAGTTTTGCTCCTCCCTAGGAAGAAGCTGTCTTCTGCACTTTCTTATTGTGGTTTTTAAAAGGAAAATCATTCCAGAGGTATTTTCTTCTGCCATTTTTGGTGAAAATGAGAAGTTTTTCACACGTGTGATAAGAATTAATGACTGTTATCCAAGCTTGCAGGATAACTGACTTTTTTATGTGCTTGTGGTCACATTTAGAAAATTTGGGGTAAAGATGCAATTTGTTCTCTTTGGACACATACATAGCTGAGGGAAGTGTAAAGGAGCACTGGAGAAAGAGAAAAGGAGAGATGGCTTCTAAGATTTCTTTGTAAAAGGACGCAAGTAACATGTAAATAAAAAATTTTAATTAGAAACAGATCGGATTAATCTGTACAGGAAAGAAATTAAGATAATCTATGTATTTTGAAAGGACAAGTTAAGCAACATTTTAAATGAAGTGGAAACCGGATAGACAATGAACATTAAAGAGCTCAGTATGAAAAAAAAAAAAGATAAAAGATAATGAAATACTTTGAGATACTTTTTTAATATCAAAAGGCAAGACCAAAACGATAATTTGGAAGGGGTTTTGTAATCTTGAATAAACGCTTTATTTTGAAAAGTGTCTGTATGAAATGAACAACTTCGTACATGGCACTTTTTGTTTTACACATCAGAGTCTCACAGCACTTCAGTTTAAAGGATATTTGCACTGTTCTTTTTATACTCTTACTACTGACTACACCATAAGTCCAATTGCATTGTGGTTCATCGGCATTCATTTATTTGTATTGCTTGGTAGTGAGGAGCACAGCTGGGCAGTAACCTTGCTACAGGCAAGAGGTGAGAAATAATCTGATGCAAGTGCAGAATGATCACTGAGAGCCAGAATTTAGAGCAAATCAACATCTTCAGGAGCATTTATGTCTGAGACTGGGTAGAATTTAATAAGAATCAATTTATTTACATAACAAATGAAATGATACAAAAACTCAGTCTTGTTTCCAAGCTCTACATGTGTATTTTGCAAAAGTAGGACATTGCAAATTCCGCAATTTTTAGAGATATGGGAAAAAAATTAGTGCAGATTAAAGTAAGAAAATGCATTTAAAAGAAAATAAATAAAGCAAGCTCACCTGACTGATTTAAACAAGTCTGTTTCTCTTTAACTTAATAAATTATCATCTTGGCTATAGGTTCAGTGAAGCTGTCATCTGCTATATACAGTCGGACAGGCTTTTCTAAGAGCTTTTACTGAAAAGAAAAAATATCCTGTAGTCTTTTGATGTTGCTTGAAAAAAAAAAAAAAAGAAAAAAGAGGTGGGCCTGAATTTAAAGTATCTGTTGAAAGAGAAACACTTTTAGTGCTCATTTGAGTTTTCACAAAAAGAAGTGATGTAAGAGACTAAAACCCAGGTAGGCTTAAGTCATCAGTGGAAAAAGTGCTTCACTGTAGAGATGTCTACTTTTACCTTTCTTACTTGAAATTGTACTGGATTTTCTTATACAAATAAAGAAAACACACCCATATCTAGGTTATGTGCAACTTACTCCAAATTAAAGGTGGTGTAATGTGGAAAGAGCAACTCCTTGTCAAAGTTTGACACAGTCTTCCAAGGAATTGTCATTCAAAACTGTTGGTAAGGAGCAACTTGAAAGGATGTGTATGACTGGTGTTGATCTATGCAAGAGCGGAAGAATGCCTTTAAAAACCACTTCCTCAGCCTCTTCCTTGTCAGTGGAAGTTACTTGTGCCTTGAGTCACATTTTGCAAAGGAGCATTCCATGTGTGTGTGCAACCCAATTAAACATGGGCATTGAGTATGTTTCTGATGACAAACATATATCTGTGATAGAAGTGTAGCCCAGTGTAACTTTGTAGGTAAGAAGCAAACTTGTTAAAAACATTAAATATGACATTTTCTGTGCTTCACAGCTAGAACAGCACAAATATGCTGGCTTCTAACGAGCTCGCTTTCTTTGATGTGCCAAAGCCCTCGTGGTGGTGTCTTACATCCTTACTGCAGTTTGTAAAGTTTTTTGGGACAGTGCTTATTTTTTGTCTCTCTTGTTAAAGTGTAGTTGTTTCTCTTTTGTATTCGGTGTGGATGATTGTCAGCATAACACATTAACGTAAAGATTTTTGTTTGTTTCTCTTTAACTCCGTGACAGGCTGCAAGCTTAGAGTGGAAGAATAAGGAGAACCAAGACACTGGTTTTAAGTTTCTCTTTACCTTGTTTAGAAAATACTATCTTCCTCACTTGTTTCCGTCTTTTACAAAGCTAACCAACCTCTACAAACCTGTTCTTGGTAAGTATTGGATTTTGGCTTTGAAGTAGAAGTAGTAATGGTGACTGTTCTCAGTAGCGTCTCTGTTACCTGCTGGCATATCACTGCAGTTCTGTTGAATGAGGGCTCTTCCTCCCTTGTCTCATGTTTTGATTTTTTCCCTAGTACAACTTCTGATTTTCTGAGATAGTCCAGGAAGCTGCTGCTGCTCATCGCTGCATAAGGGCTGGCCTGATTCTCCTTTCCTCAGGACGTTTCCACTGGCATTAACATTTACATTGAGTGAGCGAGGGCTCTGTGATATGTAATGAAGACAGACTGTGCTCTCTGATGGGTTTTTTTAAAGAACCAGCAAGCTGCCCAAGTGTGAGGGAGTAGCCACCTTAGTTACTCTTATTTTACTACTTGTTTCCTTGAAGAGAAAATGAGCATGAAGGGAAATGGCGATGTACATCTACAGTTGTAGGATTAAAAGTGTGTTATTTCAGAAACACATTTTTCCTAATTTTCTACTGAATTATGTATTAAAGTCCATAGGAATGGTGGTGTTAATACTCACCTGATCTACTGCAGCCTCTTCATCATCATTCTCCTCCCTCCTCTGACTATTAACTCCTGTCCTTTGCAGTTTAATATTTAGTGTCTAAAACCACCTTAGTGCCACTTCAGCTGTGGTGCTCACAGCTAGAGCCCAGGCCTTCCATGTTTTTCAGCTGTGTACAAATGATTTTTCCCTAAATCTAAGCGTCTGAATGAATAGTGACCCAACCGACCTCCTTTCAGCAATCTTCCACTTCTTCCCATGTGTTTTTTCTTTTATTTCAGCTTGTGCAGTGCTCTTTGCACCTGAGTTAACTTCTCTTTCTGATGTGCTAAGTATCCTGTTTCTTTGTAATCCTTGCACTATTGAGTGTTCCAGACCTATCTTCTCTTTCTCACTGTACTTTATTAATAAAACTCTGTGAAACTTATAAAATGAACTTACATTGTAGTAGGAGCAGTTCTTTGCTTCAGCTTTTGCCCTTCTTTTGCAGCCCTTCTCTTTTGCTTGCCTTTGTTTTGCGTGATACAAGTTATAACCTTCAGGAAAGAACTGTGCTTTTATGTTCTTGTTTTTCTTTAGGAGTGATAAAATTATGATAGAATATAATATAATTATATTATAATTAGTATTATATTATATTATATATAATATATAATTAATATAATAAAAGCAGTCAGTCGTTGCATCTGGTATTTCCTGTAGAGAAAATGTTGTTGGTGACATGTTCAATACATTTAACCAGCGTCTGGAAGCAATTACAGTTTAAGATCATATCTTCTTTATATCTTCTCTTTATCTCACCAGATATTCCTGATATAAGACCAAGACCAGTATACATGACTGCAACACGAAACAATGAAAATGTCTATAGCACAAAAATCCCATATATGGCAGCTCGAGTTGTTTTTATTAAGTGGCTTGTTACCTTCTTTCTTGAAAAGAAATATTTAACTGCTGTTCAGAATACAAAAAACGGAGGAGAAATGCTCCCTAAAATTATTCAGGTGTGCTTTAAGTTTACCTCTCTTTCCTTATGTACATGCTAACCTTGCAAATGATTGCGGTGTGCTGACAACTGAAGCAAGAAGTAAATGCTACCCCTAAGTGAATAATTTATGTACTCGATTGTTTGATTTTTTTTTTTTTTTCATTGATGAAGGAGGGAATCTCCAAGGGAAACCCTTTAGTAATTTACTATAATTTTTTTTTCTCATAACTGTTTGCCTTAGCAGCTTCATCAGTATTATGTTTAGACTTCTGGAATTTAATCTGTAAACTTATTTGTGCCATGAACCATTTCCCAGCAGCATCAAAAAGGCTGCTTTGTTTTCCTCTTGATATCAGCAGCTGTTTACAATGAGATATTAGAAAAATATTTCACTTTCCAGTTGCTGGTTGAGCCTTCTCTAGGATTAAGGACTTCACAATGAATTTTATAGAAATAGATGCTTTTTTTTTTTTAAGAGACTCTCCAGCTTCCTGTTAAAAATTTAGGATCAATGTCAACTTATGCTCTTCTCTTGGACTGTAGGTCAGTGTCAAATCTGGATTCAGTAGAAAAGCACACATTAACTGCTATGGTAGAACTATGTATTTTTCATGTCGATTGTTTTTTGAGTTCTTCACTATAGAAGTTTGAAGCCCTAAACCAGCCAAGTGTAGCTTACCTGCTGAAAGTGCTTTTTTTTATTGATCTGTTCTTCCTCATTGGAAGTTCCACCTTTTGTATAAACTGGTGTGCCATTCCAACAGACGTGGTCTGGAAAAACATTTTTTTTTTTTCCTCCCACTGAATTTTATAGAGAGCGACACCAAATAAATATTTAGGTTGCATAAAGGTATTGCTGCCCTCAAAGTGGAAACTGGTCAAAAATTATCACTTAGCTGAAGCTGTGTGCCAGCTTTTGGCAATGTTGACTTCTTAGTGGCTTTGAAGTTCACTGGCTGTAGCCCGTGCCTCGCTAGTGGGGCTGAATCTTGCCAAAAAGTTCATTGCGAAAAGCAGTAGAGATATTATTGCTGCTCTGTTACGGCTTATTTGGTTGAACACAGGGCAGCCTTACTAATGTAAATGTAAAGCAGAACTGCACTTGGGCGATGCTTTGAGTTAGTGCAAGTCAGGGCTCATTTTCTGGTAACTCAGAAGCAGTTTTAGTCTTCTGTCTTCTCCTGACTGCATCATTTTAGCTGGACACGGTTTGAGATGTTGCAGAATACAGGCAATGCCAGAACAAAACCTGACAAAGAGTTGTTGGGAATAATAACGTGCAAGAGTATGAGCCATGTATAGCGGCGTGATCCATCCTTTCCCCAAAACAAAGAAGCTTGGGGATTCCTCTCCACTGTGTGCATTCTTCCAACTCCCACCACTGCACCCGTCCCTCTCTTTTATCTTACGGAGTGGACAAGTCAGCTGTTCTGGGCTAGGGGGGCCATGTGAAGCCTACGTTATGTAGAGTATAAGATCAAATTCCTTCTTGGATCAAGGAGTAGACTGAAAATTACCCTTCCTGACTGCTGGGATTCTGGTGTGTTCTGTGAAAAAGAGCACCTGTATCTTGAGTCCTGCCTAAGTATTCCAGATTTTGGTGTACGCTATTTCAGTTATTTAATTAGAGATGCGTTTTCTTTTGTGTAGACTGTTGGTGTTGTAAACCAAGACAAAAACGCAGAGCTGGAAACCAGTATGTCTTATGCAAGCGAGCAGGAGAGAAGCCATTCTAACAGCAGCACCTTGTCTGACAGAAGGCTCAGCAATTCCAGCCTCTGCAGCATCGAAGAGCAGCACAGGACCGTCTATGAGATGGTGCAGAGAATCCTCTTATCCACTCGAGGATATGTTAACTTTGTTAACGAGGTGTTTCGACAAGTAAGTGTGTATGCTTAGTTGCTATTAATATATATTTTTTTTTTTAAAGGAAATGTCATGGTTCTGAGAAAGAACACTGCAAAGGCTGTTGGTCAGGTAACTGGTCAAACTTGATGCTAATCACAGCAGCACCCTTTTAGTTTGGAGTCCTTCCTAGGTCTAGCTTTAACGATAAAACTAGGACATTGTTATAGGCTGGTGCCAGATGGCAACATGCCTTATTTGAATGGGCCACTTTATTTGTTCTTGGTATTACGATACAATTTAAAGGTGTATAAAGAGCTATTAGCTTGTAAATTTATTATTTGAATCGGTAAGATTCTTATTCCTGTGATCAACATCAGTATTTAATGTCTGTTTGAACATTGATTGTTTCTGCTTTTATTTTTCATTAATTTGACATCTTTGCAATTGCTTGGGACAAAAATACATATGGACCTACTGGAGAGTCCCATTTTTTTTATTTTTTTTTCCCCTCTGGTGCCAAGGTAGAAATTGGTTGAAGCAGCAGCTCCAGGTCACACAAGTGTGCAGAAGATCCCTCCAGCAGCTGAGCGAGCACACGTGCTTTCCTATGAAGTGTCTTGTGTGGCACGGCTTAGGAATTACGCGTAGCCGTGGGTTTCAGTGGGACTGGTGGCGTTTTGACAGGAAGGAGCTCTTCTGTGTGGGTTAGGAGCTGCTGTGGCGTGCTGCCCTCTCCTGGTGTTTGTCCAGAGTCTGGGAGGCCGGGCCAGCTTCCAGGGAACAAAGGCTAACGTGATGCAGTGCTTTTATCTTTATTCAGTATGATTAGTGTTCAGTAATTGAAACAGATAATGGTATTTGGATCCTTTTTGTGTTTGTCTCTCCCTTACAGCAATCTCACCTGCCACTCTGAATTCCTCTACTCCCTCCCCCCCAATCCCGCCTTACTTCTTCGCCTTTCTGAAAGCATTCTGTGTAGTGCCTATTCATCCCACCGATATGGGATGCACTCTTTCTCTAATATTTTAGCAGTTGGCTTCTGGCTTTTTCAGTTTCTGCATCCTTAATAAGTTGACAGTGGTATTTTCAGAAGTTTCACGGGCTTGCTGTGTGGTACATTTAAGCTTGCTTTTGCTAACCCTTCAATTTCTGTTGCAATCAGCTGTTGGATGTTGTACTTCATGCTGAGGAGAGACAAGGAGTGTACTGTGTGATGCAAAGATTTCCCCCAGCCCGAGCAAGATACCTTTGTAATGTTTTTGCAGCCAAACTGGGTATAGGAAATGCTATAGGTTTTGACCCTGTTAATCAGAGTGAGTGAGTAATCTCTTCATAGTTGAAAGGACCTATTTTTTAGTATGAAAACTGTATTTTCATCTTTCAGAGTTTTTATAGTATAATGCATATTGATACCAATTGTTTTTAATGGCAAAATACGCTTTTTTTTACCAGATGACATTTTCAGACATTGATTTCTGTGCCTGTTCACTGCAGTGCAAAGGTCTTCTGTCACTATATATTTTTTTTTAGTCTCCCAAGATCTTCGGAAATGTGGGAGTGCAGCCAGTCTAGCGTTTGCAAGCTTTTGGAGAGGACATCTGTACAGAGTGATTCCCGAATACAGATATTGAGTAGCATGTTGAAAATAAATTAATTGTGGTGATCTCCAAAACTAGTGAGAGGGGATCGAATGCCAGCCACTGTGATCCTCATCACAAGTTACTGTCTTGTCTCTGCCTACGCTTGCTGAAATGGCATTTCACAGCGTATACTGCTGATGTAATTTGAAGTCAGCTTCTCCAGAAAGTGTAGCATAGTACCAGAGTTTAGCCTGCCTGACCTCTGTGGCTAGTAATGGCTTGTGAGATGGATCCATGTTAAGTTAGGCAGCTTGCAAGGAGCAAAACCAACCTCTCCGTCTGTCTGAACAAATACAACATGGAATTAATAGTTATGGAATTGTGAATGATGTAGGTGTATGCATAGGTTGTTGATTAATCGTAACTCCTTCTAGTACAGACATAAAAGTAAAAACTATGTGTCCTTTCTTTTTCGAGCTGTGTTATTTATGGGTGGTGGTGTGTGGGTGTGTTTATATACGCATGCACGTCTATGTCCTGTATATAGTAAAATTAGTTACCTTTTCAATTTAGGCTTTTTTATTGCCACCTTCTGATATATCTGCAACACGAAAAGTGGTGAAGGTATATCGGAAGTGGATACTGCAAGAGAAACCTGTGTTCATGGAGGAGCCAGACAAGAGGGAAGACAGTCAGGATGCTGTTGTCAGCTTGGAGGATTCTACTGTGCAAACGGATGGTAAACATGTATGGTATCAGTGTTACTTGCTTTGTTCTGTTCACCTACAACATATGAGTTAAGTTTTAGACTTGTTTTGTAAATGCGTAACAATTTAAAAAATGTGTGGAAGATCAAAGTTAAAAAATACTTTTGTATAAGGTCCAGAAATTCAAATAAATATTGAGTGTTTGGTAGCCCTTACTGAGTTCAGGGAAAGATTGCAGCTGTTTTGAAAAGTGTAATTTGTTGATTATTCCCTGTTGCTACAAATATGATAGCAAGAACTTATGGAAGAAATACTAATACGTTCTGCAGTGTTCAAATTTACGCTGCCAGTTGGCCTAGTCCATGTAGGACTGTTTCCTTTTGGTGGTAGTTACTTCAGAATTTGAAAATACCTACTGTTTTATATATACTGGGTGCAATATTTGGATTCAGGCACCTTAATCTAGCAAATTAAAGTGTAGATACAAAGTCTGTGCATTAATATCCTATATTGAACCATCAGTAAAAGTTGGCTTTGGCACTATTGATGCTGTGAAGTGATTTAAAGGGAAGTTTTCTTGTACTGAGAGAGAGGTTTGAATTGTAAAAAACATGCAAGGTTTTGACGGATTATTTTTGTAGGGGATTTATATTTTTGCCAGGCTTAAATTCAAATATTACTGCAATCAGTGCCTACAAAATGTGACATAAAATATTTTAAATAACATAGCTCTTAAAACTTTTCTGAAGCGTTAAATTCCATATACTGTCTGTTTGTTCAGAGATGAAGAAATAATAGACAGGAGATCAGTGTAGGACATAATGGTTCGCCCTGTTTTGCTTTGACACTCTAGATGATTTTGAGTGAATACAGACATACTCCTTTCTGTTTTGTCACTAACTGAATCATGTTTTTGAAAGCTTTCCTCTGACCATTCAGGACACAAGCGCTCATCCAGCTGGGGGAGAACGTACTCCTTTACCAGTGCTGTAAACAGGGGATGTGTATTAGAAGACGAGGACAAAAATGTTAAAGCTGGTGCTCAAGCTGCGTTACAGGTGTGGTGTGTAGAAAGGTTGCAAGTCTGTAATTTATGTGATTGTGTAATTTACTCTATAAATTATAATCTCTGAGATGAAGGAAAACAACTATCAGCAGTTGTTGGTTTTTGTAAGATACGGCTTGGAGACTTCATTTACAACTTTTGAAAAATTTATATTAAACCACGTGACAATGTCATAGAGACAGATTGCTATTTTGAGACAGCAGGTTCATTTTTCTTTTCCTACTGTGGGTACTAGAAATTAATCAGAACTGTACATTTGCTTTCACTGAACCTCGTTTATTGGAAGTATTGGTGGTTGCTCAAGCATACAGGAAGTGAGTAGCTGGAGAAAAGGTACTCTTGTCTGACCGAACAGAGACCTACAAAACCCATGCCGTGCAATGCACGTCTGTGCTGGGTCCGTAACGCCACCTGACTTTTCAATAGAATGATGGAGAAAAATAAAGCGACAGGTAAAACGTAAAACTTGCTCTAAGGAAAGTGAAAGGTTTGACTGGAGGAGGACAAGTATTTTATTGTAAGCCTTGACTCTCTTTATTCCTGACACTGCGTAAACTGACTATAAATGCCTGTCTTGAAGGTATTCTTGACAAACTCTGCGAATGTTTTCTTACTGGAACCATGCATTGAAGTCCCTGTGCTTCTGAAGGAGCAAGTTGATGCTTGCAAAGCAGTTCTGAGTGTCTTTAGGCGCATGATAATGGAACTATCAATGAATAAAAAGACATGGTAAGCTTAATATATTCTGCATCATTTAAGAGAAAGTTAACACCATTTAAGCTTTATGGGAGAATGATAGGGTAGGGAAAAGACTGGCTTTCTCAGGGGTGGACTTTATTACCTAAGTCATGCTTGTGACTTGCCTCTGAACTCATTTGTGAGACTGCAGGTTCTGCAGAGTCTGCATCAGTGTACTATTTGACTTCAGGATCTTGGCTGGTATTTCCATGCTTGACTTCACATTCTCAAAAATGACTTTTTACAGTCCACAACCAACTAAAGTTATTTTGCAAATGATCTGTGAAGTCTGATCGCATTATCAATAAGTAAGGCCTACTGGGGAATTAAGAAGGTTCTCCATACCTGAAAATTAACAATTACAATTAATAGAACATGGCAACAAAAAGTACAATTTTGTTTTGGCACCAGGGAACAGATGTTACAGATACTCCTTAGGATAACAGAAGCTGTGATGCAGAAGCCGAAAGAAAACCAAGTAAAGGATACATTCGCTCAAAGCATGTCGGGATTACTTTTCCGAGTGAGTGTTTGGGGTTTTTTTGTTTGTTTGGGGTTTTTTTGTTTGTTTGGGTTTTTTTTATGTTTGTTTTTTCATGGTGATTACCTGTAGTTTTGGTTAAATACTGTTGCACAGTGCTATGAAACCTACTTGTGAAACATCAAAAATTTCCCCTTTGCAGTAATGCAAGTAATTATTGTGTAAACTGCTCCTAATGGAGGGAGACAGATTCAACAAGCAGTTGTTCTCATCTGTTTGTCAGGGCTCTGTTACAAACTGTGGTAGAACAGGCAGGCACAACAGTCTCCTTGTGGGATACCTTCAATGAGTATCTCTAAAGTGTGAGCTTGATGTAACTGTTCCCTTGAAGCTCAGCGGGCAAGTCAAAACTGAGTCACTTTGAATGAGGCTGAACCATTTTTACATTGCATTGTACTTCGCTTGCTCAGCTACGGTGTCTAGGGCTGAGTGTCGCCGGTGTAGCTCAGTCACTACTGTCTTTCTGTAGATAGAGGAGTCAGTTCTTCATTCTCTTGTTGTTATACACAGCATATTATCTCAGTTTACCAGAGAACATATAGACCACCTGAAATTCACGTTTCGGAATTTTTAGATCTCCTTGGTCAGTAACTTTCACAATTATTTACCAATTCTGGGAATGTTTTTTTGATGAAAAATATCTATGCATGATATCTGTGCATCACGAGTAATCAATGCTTTTATGCGGGTCAGTGTTGACTTCATCAGCACACGGGTTGGTGTTGGTGTGCTGAGTTCATCTTGACAGAAATGCATGAACCATCACTTGTTTCTTTTCTCACAGACCCTCATTGTGGCCTGGATTAGAGCAAACCTGAGCGTTTATATTTCTCGGGAGCTGTGGGATGAGCTGCTCAGCGTTCTGTCCTCCCTGACGGACTGGGAGGAGCTCATAAACGAGTGGGCCAATATCATGGACTCGCTAACAGCGGTGCTAGCAAGAACCGTCTATGGGGTGGAAATGACAAACTTGCCCTTGGATAAGCTCAGTGAACAAAAAGAAAAAAAGCAGAGAGGAAAAGGTTAGTCTCTATGCTTCTGTGCTTTTTGTATCAAACAAGGTAAATATTTAAGTTTAAACTTAGAGTAAATTAATTTTTAACGTTAAGTATTACTTAATCTATTGTAAGAACCTGTCTAATCAAATGTGAAGTGCTTTGGGTTTGTGTGTTCTCATTCTTCATTGTGGGAGGAAAGGTAACTGGGGCCAACAGAAGATAGCCATGCAGCACTTTGCAGTACGCGCTTAAAATCAGTGTTTTCTGTGTAGTGGAAATGCAGTGTGGCTTCCTGTGTTGCAGTCTGGCATAGTCATCAATGTAAAAGTGCTTTTGCATGTATTTTTATTAAACTTTGTTAATTACAGTATTTTAGCTACATTTATGTGCCACCTTGCAACTGATGCACAGAGTTGAAGTAGTTATTCAATAATAGTCAAAATTCACCTATGTTGTTCAACAGATTAATATTTTTCATGTCTGAGTGCTTCTAAGTCCATTCATACTTTAGGAAAAATATGTGCCAAAGCATGCAATGCTATAGAATTTTATTTTCTTTATCCCTAAGGTGGCATTTTAGAGCCTCAAAAGACAGCTGTAGTGGGACGATCTTTTTCATTAAGCTGGAAAAGTCATCCTGAAGTTGTGGAGCCCATGAGATTCAGAAGTGCTACGACCTCTGGAGCCCCAGGAGTTGAGAAAGCAAGAAATATCGTTCGTCAGAGAGCAACAGGTTAGACCACAACTAAACGCTTGTGCTCACAAACACTTGGTAACACTCAAGTTTTAAATCTGCCTTTGTGTTGTGGCTGCCTCCAAAAGTTGTGCAACTTAATAATTAAATGCCTAAAGAGAGGCATTGTGTGCCCATGTCTGGGTGTCTGGACCACTACCAGTATGAATAAAGAATCAAAGTATTTTCAAAAATTCTAAATATATGCTTTTAAATAAATTACATTTAATTGCAAGTTAGTCATGTGCAAGTTATGTGTTTCTGTGAAGAAGTACATCTCTTTTTCTCAATTCATAAGGAGGCATTTATTAAGATCAGTCAGATAATATATATTGCTTCTGAACTTTCATACCGCTAGCTGTTTACTGTGAGCACAAGGTAAACCGGGTGTTAAATAAAGAATTTCATCCTTTCTTATTGCTTTCTTTTTATTAGCATGGTGTGAGGTATAGCGTCTCCTTTCCCTTTTTTCTCTCGTGTTTACTTCTGGAAGGAGGAAAATGGGAGAAGGGAGAATGGGGGTGAGGAACAATGGGAATGTCTGAGACCCCAGGCATGGAACAGACACCTGATTTTTCAAGCATTTCAGCAGCCTGAATTTGATCTCTCTTTTTATTCCATAGTAGCATGTTTCTGTGTTCCAATTCAGTGGGCTATGGATTAAAACTCTCCATAGAAAATCTCCTGCTTTTGAATAGGAGATGTTTTGCTGCTTGGCTTCCTTCCTCATTCATAACAGATTAGTTGTGTTTCTTACCAGCAGAATTTGAAGGTGATTTAGTATGTTTTTGTGGCTACAGGCTTCATAACTAAGCCCCAGGCTTCAGCTTGGATCATAAAACGTTTTGGCATTGGAGTCAATTAATTCTTTGTGTCTGTTTTACTTCTAAATTCAGCGAGTTCCTATTTGTGCTCTGGTGGAGAATTCTTTTTTTCTTATGCTACAGCATTTCTCCCCTAGACTTCTCACCAGAGCGGTGAAGAGAACCTGAAAGTATTGATCAGCAAGGACTTGGTTGTGGACGTTCAAATTAAAGAAACTTGCTACCTTTAGTGACAAAAGCTTATTTGGTAGGGAGCAAGTAGGTTGTCAGGTAGGAGGATGAACTTCATGTGTAAAAAGCCCTTAGTTTCATTTTGTGTCTCATGGTCATATAAAAAGAGAATTATTCTGGCTTTCATGGGATTTGCGATGATCAGTGGCTCCCAAATCAGCAGCTGCAAAAAAGTTTGCTGTTTGCACACGCGGTTATAACAAACAATCATTTCAAATAGATAAAACGTACATCCCTTTTCTAAGGTGAGACTATTTAGAAACACAAAAAGTGCAGCTACCAAGGCTCCAGAGGCAGCATCTTTCAGAAGGAAATGTAGCAGTCCCTCAGGTGAATACAGCAGCCAGAGCTGTTCGTGGAGGACTTCCTTTAGCAGAGTGGGCATTTTGGGAAAATTCTCCCATGGGAGGCTTTTTAAAAAAACCCTAATTTTTTCCCTCACCCATTTAAAAAAACACACACCCCCACCCCCCCCAAGTCAACATGCAAATGCCAGAGCACCTTCTGCTTCCAGGTGAGACTTTGTTTTGATCTGCTGCTTGTATCTGGAGTTACAAGAGTAAGAGCAGAGTATTTCTGCAGCAGCAGCAAATCTTTTGCCCACTTCCCTACTTGAGTATTTTTGCTTCCTTCTTCCTCCTCTCTAAGTGGCAGCATTGACATTGCTGTGTCCAAGAAGAGAAACTGTACAGGGAATAAGTTGTGGGTTTTTTTTTTTCTTAATAAATTTCTGTTAGAGACTTCTGTAATTCAGCATTGATGATAAATTGTTGGTTTTTTCTCTAAAGGAGACTTTAAGCTTAAGACAATTGGATATTAATCCATGAAATACCAAGTTTTTAATGATGTTAGCCTCTTAGAGTGTTAGCCACCCTGGAAAGTGTTTTTCTGGTGGCCTTTTTCTAAGAAACAGTGAACCCGTTTAAATGTTGCTATTTTGAAGAGAAATTCAGTAAGATATGCATTCAGGCTGCAGTCTTCTACCTTCCCTTGTGGTTACTTAAGAACTCCAAAAGCTTTTAACTGGTGTCCCTTTCATCATCCTGCTCAGAAGTGTGGAAAGCAGCGCTCAGTACCCCGAGTCCACAGGATCATTGAGGGTGTAAGGGACGTCATCAAGTCTAACCTCCCGCTCAGAGCAGGCTCAGCTCTCCGTCAGACCAGGGTACTCAGGGCTTCATCCAGTCCGGAGCTGGGATCCTAGTTTTAAAAGCAAAACCAGAGGCAGCTGTATCTTTAGATTGATTTTTTGAGACGCACACCATCCCACTTCTCATATGAAAAGGGATTGTTTTCAAGAGGGGTGAACCAGTGTTAGAGGTAGCTGGTTTGGGGGGGGAGCATTGCTTGTAGAGGGGAATTTGAATGTTTTCCATTCCTTATTTTTGATCTGTATGCACTACTACAGATACTTCAATGAAAAGAAAAAAGAGTAAGTCGAATTACAGGAATCATACAGTGACGAGATGAAATATTGCGCATTGTGGAGCTGCTGTGATTCAGAAGTCACTGATTATTGCACTCTCAATGTGTGAGATAGCTGAACATTGTAACTTACAGCTTGTAGGAAATACTCCTGGGCTTAATCTTGTAAACTTTTTTTTTTCCCCAAGAGCTTTGTGTTTCATTGTATCATGACATTCAAACCCCCAAATATTTTGTCTTTTTTTCTGACTCAATTATTGCTTTATTTTTTCCTGGAAGCTAAGCGAAGCCAGTCTATCAGCAACTGTGTTCACCTTTATGAGGCTTTGCCAGCTACTAAAAGTGTACCTCTTCTGCTTCACACTGTGAGCTCTCTCTTACCTGGTATCTCTTACACTTCTTGCTCTCACAGACTGTCAGGTACTGTACTTTAAAGTCACTGTTTATATAAATGTTCTTTATATTTTTAAACTGCCATCTCTCTACTCCCTTTCTGTCCAGTTGATTGTTCTTTAGTTGTGTGGAATGAGATGTTTTGCACTGGTTCTGTTTCCCATGCCTCAGATCTGCTTAAAACATGGTGTTAAGTACTTAATACTGGTAGCCATTAAGAGACAAGCAAGTTGAATGGGAGTGTATCTTGTCCTTTGTCAAAGTTACAAAGGGTGGCAAAAGTGGCTATTGCTAATGCTTTTCTGTTACTGTCACTGCAGTTTTTGATCATTTTAATATTAAAGATCGCCATGGATTACAATTAGATGTACATTCCCTAGTAACTGAAGTAAAATTTAATTTCTTAATAAAGAAATGCTTTTATTCATCTTTACACTTTCAATTATTTGATTTATTAAAGGTTTCCAAGCAGTTGTGAAGTCTTAATATAGTGCAGACCAAGCATACTAAGGATTAGGAATGCAAAAACTAAAGGCAGCAATCCAGATGTGGGCATTTTAGCGGTTATTTGGGCTCAAGTGCTCGAAAGTGTAGTAAACTTTTTTCCTGCTTTCGATGCAGTCTCATCCTGTAGAAATTGCTGTTGTGGTAAATAAAGCTGGAACAAACGCTAAGCATACAGCCTCTGAACTGATTCTCTGCTGGTACCCAGACATGGAGGTGAAAGCCAGATGTAATGGCCTGAGAACACAGCTACTCGTTGTAGGGCACTCGTCCTATCGCCCGGCCGAGAGGTGCTGCTGGGAGCTGTGGGGTCTCTGTCGTGTCCACAGACTTCCCTTTATTTCTGTTTCCAGCTAGTAAGTCTCTGAAAACAGGACTTGCTGTCGCCTCCTGCATTTCACTTCCTGGGAGGGATTTCTGACTCTTGGGCCCTAAGCAGAGCCCTAAGCTGCTGTAGCAAGGAAAGACAGGTTTCGCATGTGGTGCGTTCCAGCGCTCTAGGGGTTCCTCTTTTGTGGATTATCTTTAGTGTTTTTTCATCTCACGCTGCTTACAGTTACCTTCAGTCGTAACACTGAAACTGTTCTAGCTGGCGAATATGGGCATTGACCCGAAGGACAAACTTTTCTTTTTTTTGTTATTAATTTACTATTTGATGTAATGCTTTCTGTAAGACATTTAAAGTCAACAGTGAGGTCAGTAAATACCAGGACAGTCAGTTTTTACCACGTGTATTTGTGAGAGGATTTTCTGAAATAGGCACAACGTTTATGAAGTATGTAAGTGTTATTTAAACTCACTCGGTAGTACAGACTGAACGAGCTAAGCCTACTGTCCTCCTCCTGCGGGCGGTGTATACTGGTCTGCAGTGGGGCATCCCAACGGCCGTACGTCTTGCTCGTTTCTGAGTAAGCGTGGCCCCAGTGTCAGAGCCTGTGGAGCAGACAGGACGCAGAGCGGAGGAAAGGGGAGAAAAGGAGGAGAGTAGAAAGGTGGTGGACAGGTCACTTTTATTTAATGTGCCTATTACGTCACAATATGCTGGAAGAAATCTAGGAGACTTAATAATTTGGCCTTTGTTCTTTACTGAAAAGAAGAAATTCAAGGGTTCTCATAAGAGTTGCTACCGCAGCATTTTTCATCTATTTTTAAAAAAGGAAAATGGCATTGGCTGTGCAGACTGAACACCTTGCGCAGCCTGCTGGTGCTTCTGTTGGGTCAGCTTGGATGGGGCTTGGGGGCCC